GAACATTTTATACTCATAACAGGAACGATTCATCAGGATGAAGTCTCAATCCTGAATATCTATGCCCCTAATATAAAAGCACCCACGTACGTAAAAGAAACATTACTAAAACTCAAGGCTGCCATCAAACCGCACACACTAATAGTAGGAGACTTCAACACTCCTCTCTTACCAATGGACAGGTCAATCAGACAGAAACCTAACAGAGAAATAAGAGAATTAATGGACGTAATGAATCAAATGGACTTAACAGACATCTATAGAAAATTCCACCCAAATAGGAAAGAATATACCTTCTTCTCTGCAGCTCATGGAACCTTCTTGAAAATTGACCACATACTTGGTAACAAAGCAAACTTCCACAGTTACAAAAAATATTCGTAACCTCCTGTGTCTTATCAGATCACCATGGATTAAAGTTAGAATTCAACAACAATGCTACCCCCAGAAAGCCTACAAACTCATGGAAACTGAACAGTAAATTACTGAACCACACCTGGATCAAGGAAGAAATTAAGAAAGAAATTAAAGTCTTCCTTGAATTCAATGAAAATAAAGAAACAACCTACTCAAACTGATGGGACACTATGAAAGCAGTCCTAAGAGGAAAGTTCATAGCACTAAGTGCCCACTTAAGGAAAACAGAAAAAGCACACATTGGAGACTTAACAGCCCACCTGAAAGCTCTAGAAAAAAAAGAAGCAGACTCACCTAGGAGGAGTAGAAGACTGGAAATAGTCAAACTGAGGGCAGAAATCAACAAAATAGAAACACAGAAAACAATACAAAGAATCAATGAAACAAAAAGCAGGTTCCTGGAGAAAATCAACAAGACTGATAAACCCCTATCCAAACTAACCAAACGGCAGAGAAAGAATATGCAAATTAATAGGATCAGAAATGAAAAGGGGGACATAACCACAGACACAGAGGAAATTCAGAGAATCGTTAGATCTTACTACAAAAGCCTGTATGCCACAAAACTGGAAAATGTAAAAGAAATGGACACTTTTTTAGATAAATACCACATACCAAATTTAAACCAGGACCAGGTGAACAATCTAAATAGACCTGTTAGTCGTGAAGAATTAGAAGCTGTTATCAAAAACCTCCCTACCAAAAAAGCCCAGGACCAGATGGTTTCAATGCGGAATTCTACCAGAACTTCCAAGAAGACCTAATACCTATACTCCTTAATGTATTTCACAATATAGAAACAGACAGTCATTGCCAAATTCCTTTTATGAAGCTACAGTTACTCTGATACCAAAACCGCACAAAGACTCAACCAAGAAAGAGAATTACAGGCCAATCTCACTCATGAATATCGATGCAAAAATCCTCAACAAAATACTGGCAAACCGTATCCAAGAACACATTAGAAAAATTATCCATTATGATCAAGTAGGCTTCATCCCAGAGATGCAGGGCTGGTTCAACATACGAAAATCTATCAATGTAATCCATCATATAAATAAACTGAAAGAAAAAAACCATATGATCATTTCATTAGATGCTGAAAAAGCATTTGACAAAATTCAACATCCCTTTATGATAAAAGTATTGGAGAGATTAGGGATACAATTGTCATACCTAAATAAAAGCTATATACAGCAAGCCGACAGCTAACATTAAATTAAATGGAGAGAAACTCAAAGCCATCCCACTAAACTCAGGAACACGACAAGGCTGTCCACTCTTGCCATACCTCTTCAATATAGTGCTTGAAGTTTTAGCAATAGCAATAAGACAACATAATGGGATCAAGAGGATTCAAATTGGAAAGGAAGGAGTTAAACTGTCGTTATTTGCAGATGATATGATAGTGTACATAAGCGACCCCCAAAACTCCACCAAAGAACTTTTACAGCTGATAAACAGCTTTAGTAATGTGGCAGGATACAAGATCAATTCCAAAAAAATCAGTCGCCCTCTTATACACAAAGGATATGGAAGCAGAGAGAGAAATCAGAGAATCTTCACCTTTCACGATAGCCACAACAGCATAAAATATCTTGGGGTAACTCTAACCAAGGAAGTGAAAGATCTATTTGACAAGAACTTTAAGGCATTGAAGAAAGAAATGAAGAGGATACCAGAAAATGGAAGGACCTCCCTTGCTCTTGGATTGGGAGGATCAACATAGTAAAGATGGCAATTCTACCAAAGGTAATTTACAGATTCAATGCAATACCCATCAAGGTCCCATCAAAATTCTTCACAGATCTTGAGAGGACAATAATAAACTGTATATGGAAAAACAAAAAACCCAGGATAGCCAAAACAATCCTATACAATAAAGGATCTGCTGGAGGCATTACCATCCCTGACTTCAAACTCTATTACAGAGCTACAGTAATGAAAACAGTGTGGTACTGGCATAAAAACAGAGAAGTCGACCAATGGAATCGTATAGAAGACCCGGATTTTAACCCACAAACCTATGAACACCTCATTTTCGATAAAGGAGCTAAAGTATACAATGGAAGAAAGAAAGCATCTTCAACAAATGGTGCTGGCATAACTGGATGTCAACCTGTAGAAGAATGAAAATAGACCCATATCTATCACCATGCACAAAACTCAAGTCCAAATGGATTAAAGACTTCAATATCAGTCCAAACACACTGAACCTGATAGATGAGAAAGTGGGAAGCACCTTACAACAGATGGACACAGGAGATTGCTTCCTATGTATAACTCCAGCAGCACAGACATTAAGGGCAACATTGAATAAATGGGACCTCCTGAGACTGAGAAGCTTCTGTAAAGCAAAGGACACTGTCACTAAGACAAAAAGGCAACCCACTGACTGGGAGAAGATCTTCACCAACCCCACAACAGACAAAGGTCTGATCTCCAAAATATATAGAGAACTCAAGAAACTAGACTTTAAAATGCTAATTAACCCAATTAAAAAATGGGGCACTGAACTGAACAGAGAATTCTCAACAGAAGAAGTTCAAATGGCCAAAAGACACTTAAGGTCATGCTCAACCTCCTTAGCGATCAGGGAAATGCAAATTAAAACAACTTTGAGATATCATCTTACACCTGTCAGAATGGCTAAAATCAAAAACACCAATGATAGCCTTTGCTGGAGAGGCTGTGGGGGAAGGGGTACCCTCATCCATTGCTGGTGGGAATGCAATCTTGTGCAACCACTTTGGAAATCAATGTTTCGGTTTCTCAGGAAATTCGGGATCAACCTACCCCTAGACCCAGCAATACCACTCTTGGGAATATACCCAAGAGATGCCCGATCATATGACAAAAGCATTTGTTCAACTGTGTTCATAGCAGCATTGTTTGTAATAGCCAGAAGCTGGAAACAACCTAGATGTCCTTCAATGGAAGAATGGATGAAGAAAGTGTGGAATATATACACATTAGAGTACTATGCTGCGGTTAAAAACAATGACTTCTCGAATTTTGCATGCAAATGGATGGAAATAGAAAACACTATCCTGAGTGAGGTAACCCAGACCCAAAAAGATGAACATGGGATGTACTCACTCATAATTGGTTTCTAGCCATAAATAAGGGTCACGGAGTCTACAATTGGTGAACCTAAAGAAGCTAAATAGGAAGGTGAACCCAAGGAAAAACAGATAGTTATCCTCTTGGCTATGGGAAGTAGACAAAATTGCCGGGGAGAAAATTGGGATCTTGGGGGTGGGGTAGGATGGGAGTAAGGGGAGATGAGGAGAGAAAAGTGAGAAGGGGAGGATGGGGGGAACTTGGGGAAACAGGATAATTGGGATAAAGGAAGGTTGGATAGGGGAGCACGGAAGCACAATTCTTAGTTAAGGGAGCCACCTTAGGGTTGGCAAGAGACTTGAACCTAGAGTGGCTCCCAGGAGCCCAAGCCGAGGTCCCCAGTTAGTTCCTTGGGCAGCTGAGGATAGGGAACCTGAAATGACCCTATCCTATAGCAATACTGATGAATATCTAGCATATCACCATAGAATCTTCATCTGGTGATGGATGGAGATAGAGACAGAGACCCACACTGGAGCACTGGACTGAGCTCTCAAGGTCCCAATGAGGGGCGGAAGGAGGGAGAACATGAGCAAGGAAGTCAGGACCACGAGGGGTGCACCCACGCACAGAGACAGTGGGGCTGATCTATTGGGAGCTCACCAAGGCCAGCTGGACTGTGACTGAAAAAGCATGGGATAAACCCGGACTCTCTGAACATGGCGAACAATGAGGGCTGATGAGAACCCAAGGACAATGGCACGGGGTATTGATCCTACTTCATGTTCTGGCTTTGTGGGAGCCTAGCCAGTTTGGATGTTCACCTTTCTAGACATGGACGGAGGGGGGAGGACCTTGGACTTTCCACAGGGCAGGGAACCCTGACTGCTCTTTGGACTGGAGAGGGAGGGGGAGAGGAGTGGGGGGAGGGGAAGAAGGGTGGAAGGAGGGGGAGGGAAATGGGAGGCTGGGAGGAGGCTGAAACTTTTTTTTCCTTTTCTCAATAATAAAAAAAAAAGGGCAGAGCTATGGCCTGGAACCAAGGGACAAGAAACCTTAGCCAGCTTCCCCTGTAAATGAACCAGCAAACAAGGAAGCTCCCATCGGATTAGCAAGAGTCCAGTGTGTTGACCTCTGACCTTTACACATACACGCATAGGCAAGTACACTTGTGTATGAGCATACCCACAGACAGACACACACACACACACACACACAAACCCCATGCTAGGATCATAGGAGACATTCTAGCTAAGTAGCTCCTTGGAGACTCACATATACCTTGAACCTCAACTATCTGAGAGAGAAGCTGCACACACTGGAGAAACGAGAAAGACCAGTTAAACAAACTGCTACCGGCCTCCGTCACCTACTGTAGTGACTTCAGATCCAGTGGGAACTGAGGCCTAAGACGTGAGCCACTGGCTGACCTCATCAGTGTCCAGTGGGCATGCACATGACCCTAATTCAGTTCAAGAAAGGAGTGGCACCATTGCCAGAAGGACACCCTGCCCCCATACCTGGGGGCTAGGCCAAGCTGTGCAGGCTGCTCTCCCGTAGTGTGGCCCTTCCCTGGCAGACACTGCTCGGGCTTGCTTTCCTGAGGAAAAGAAAAGAAGCCATTAGAGAAGGAGAAAAGAGAAAGGATGCTCCCAAAAGCTTGCGTCCCACTGCAGGGCTCGCTAAGGCCCAGGGCAAGACAGGAAAGGCACACACCCAGGTTGAGGACTCCCACCCAGGAGGCTCTGGAGGGGTCTGTGTTATGGCAGGTCCCCATTACTTCTTTGCCTAGAAATATCATAAAATTAAGCTGAGAAACCTTTTTGACAGAAATGAGTCTGTTAGTTATCCATAAGTGTTCCTGGCACCCAACCAAACGTCATCATCCCTGTCACAGAGACACACGCTTTAATGGTGGCTGCCTGAATTCTTGAGAGTTTTCACAATATTTTCTTCTAATTGCCAATAGAAATGTTCGAAAATATTTGCATGCCATATTTTTCTCGGGGAAAATGAGAAAGCATTTATCTTTTCCGATGCTGTGTAATCCTAGTGGGAAATGTTCCCTGGGCATCCAGGAGAGGGCCCAGACCACTGCTCTAGCTTGGGAACCCTAGGACATCCCGCTGACCATTCAGAGCTTTGTCTCCTCACTTCTCAAACAGGAATGAGGATGCTGAGCAGTGACTACTGATCCATAAGCCAGAAAGCCTGATGCACTGTAGGGAGGGAAGGGAAGAAGGAGGAGGGGAGGGGGGGAGGGGGGAGGGGGGAAGGGAAGTGAGGGAGGAAACAGGACAGACCAGCAAACTACCACTGAGTCAAAAGAGGCCAGAGAGCATGTTGGGGGATGAAGGAGACACAATAAAATCACTTTGTGTATGTCCTTTAGTCAAAAAACAGGTTAATGACCTCCAATGTCATATTTTTAATAAAGCAAGCAAGGTAGGCTAACTAAGTACGGTGGCTCATGCCTATAATCTTAGCATTGGGGAAGCTGAGACAGGAGGACAGCTATGAGTTCAAGGTAAGTGGAGCTCTGTAAGAGTTTGTCACATAAAGTAATAGTGAATATCTTAAAGTATGAGACTGGGGACTAGTTTGAAATATGCCTTCAGCTGGTTGGTTGGCTGGCTGGCTGCTAGGTTGGTTGGTTGGCTGGTTGGTTGGTTGGTGAGTTGGTTAGATATAGGGCCTTGCTATAAGTCCTAGCTGACCTGATAATGACTACATACGTAGCCTGAGCTGGCCTCCAACCTGTGGCAATTCTCCTGCCTCTGCCTCCTGAATACTAAAGTTACAGGCTCACAATGCCATGCCCAGATTTACTCTGTCCAGTTTGTTTGCTTTGGGGGTCTTGACTGGTGTTTTGTTTGTTTGTTTCTGATTGATTGGGGGGAAGGGTGTGTGTTTTGTTTGGTTTGGTTTGGTTTGGTGTTTGAGACAGGGCCTCATATGCAGCCTTGTCTGGTCTTGAACTCACAGAAATATACTTGCCTCTGACTCCTGGGTACTGAAGTTAAAGGCCTGCATCACCACGTCCAGCTGCTGTTTGCTTCCATAAGAACAAAAGCAACTGCCGTGACCATTCATCCATTATCAACTGAAGGATTTAACTGTGTGATAACTTTTCACTCGGCTAGTTCAGAAATATGGATCTGTATGAGTAACTGTATTTGCATTCTTTAGAGAAATATTTAATTTCATAAACATTCTTTCCTTTACACTAGCATTCCCCTTAATTCTAACTGTTAAGAATCTAGATACCCTACAAATAAGAGGTCTTTGAAATGGATTTCTGCCTGAAATTCTAGAACCTTCTGTCCTCTAGCTAATAAACTAGCCCTTTGTGCTGTAAGTCTACTGCAGGATAGCATCCATGTCATCCCGACTTGCTGAGACCCTCAGAGGTAAAGCAGCAGGTGACAGCACGCAGGCGCATCAGCAGCGTGTCACAGGACAATCTGATCTGCACACAGCGCTTAAGGCACCTTCTCCCTTGGCTCCACAGACTCAGGTGAGCCCACGGATGTTTCTGGATGGTTTACATGGCCGCTGGTTTTCATGCTTCCTCTGGAAGCAGCTATCCAATAAATACACACCAGACCCCTACAACAGTTCCACAGCAAACAAAGCTGTGCGTGGGTTCTGCCTTTGAGGATCTCAGGGTGTGGAGAAGCTGAGAAATGTTAGTCGAGCAGGCTCACTAATGAGTGCATTTACAGATCCTGACAAAATGCATAAAAGACAAAGTCATGGCCCATGCAAGCAGAGATGGTAAACCAGGTTAACCTGTATAAAAGGAGGAGTTAAGTTGTTGGTCAATTATGTGAAGGGAGATGTAAGGAATCCTGACAACACTGTAACATATGCAAAGGCCCTGAGGTAGATTCCATTTTGATCGACTATACTAAAGCGTAGACGGAAAGAGATGACAGTACTAGCAAGAGAGGTCAGAGCTAGAACACCCAGGTACTGTAGGATGCTAAGGTCCTTCAACAAAAGAAAGCCCTAAGTGTTCCTGAGAGCAACTCTGACTTCATGCCTTGATGCTTCTGCTTCGCTGGCTAAGTGATAAACGGGTATAGAGTACAAACAATTGCCTGATTTGTCTGGTGTGAAAATAAACAATGGAGTCATTCCAAAGGGCCTATGGGTGATTAGGGAAAATCAAGAGGTGAAAGCCGAAAAGAGGGCCTTAAGTCCACTGAGGGGCTGGTCAGGGGAGGAGCCATTAAGAGGGAGGCAAAAAGCTAGAACACGGAGCTGGAGGCCAAACAAGGGCTGAGAGTTGGAGAGAGACCTTTCAGAGAACACAAACAAGTTCTCATGTATCCAGCCTGTGCCTTCAGAGATGTGGCTAAGGAGGCTGAGTCAACAGCCATGGTAAGACGCACTGGCATTATCCTCACCAACATCACATATTCTAAAACCTAAGTTATGTGGGAACCCTTCTGTGGTGGTGAATATTGTCAATGTGACAAGATCTGAGAAGACCCACCCTGACTGTGAGCAGCACCATTCCATGGGCTGAGGTCCTGGACTGAAGACAGGGGTGAGCGCCAACCCAGCACCAGGCCTTACCTCACTGCTTCTGCGGACAGATGTGAGCAGCTGATTCATGCTCCTGCTGATTTCCTGTTTCCACCGTCGCAGGTCATGCTCTCTAAATCTCTGCCTCCCTAAGTGGCTTTTGCCAGGTGTTGTGTCCCAGAACAAGAAATGCACCTAGTACATCTTCTTTACTGATACAGAAACCCCAGAGTGGAAAAACAGCTCAACCTGGGGCTGCAGGCAGAGGGTGGCAGAGCCAAGCTCTGCTGGCCCCCTCTTCCTCATCTGCCTTCTGCTCTTGTCCCCTTTCCAGGAGGGCCAGCTCACGGAAACCCAGTATTACGGCACTCATTTCACTCACACAAGCTGAAAGAAGCAAACCTGACTACGCAAAACCAAAACACGCCGAGTGCAACCACCACGCCACGCCATGCCAGGCTCCCCACTTACTTCTTTGATTGTGGCGTTTCTTCCCCTCCAGGAAAACCACCATCTTCCTCCCTTTTTGGGCATCTTATCTCTCATGATGGATTCCACAGTGGCCTGTTTTAAATGGATGGTAACATAAATAATGGAACCAAAAAGAAAAAAAGAAAAGAAAAAGGAAAAGGAAAAGAAAAAAAAACATCAACTTAGCACAGTCGAAACAAAAGAAAATGTACTTGCAAATTAAAGGAGACGGAAGAAATAAATAATAAATAAAACGTTAACGCAACATACTGTGGGCGGACTGAAAATTTTAGAAAGGCAAAACCTAATGGCGTCCAAAATCACGTGAAGGTAACTGAGGCACGAAGACTTAAGAAGATGGGAAAAGAACCAATGAACAACAAACAAAATACAACACAATAACAACAGGAAAGAAAGCATTAGAAATCATTAGTGGTTAGTAGATCTTAAGTTTTCAAATTAAAATAGCTAACTGATTACAAAGCTACTAGCCACAGTATGATGATGACAAAATAAAACAGGAAGCAAAACACGACCATACGGTGTAGGGTCCAACAGCCGTAAACAAAACATACAGGCTTTTGTTGTTGTTGTTGTTGTTTTAGGTAAGCATGTCTCCAAAGCTCAACCGACTAAACTTTAGCAAATTGATTTAAAAATCAAGAGTTAAAAATAAAATCCAAATGGACAGCTTGAATACATCACAGTGTAATGAGGGAGATTAACTATGAAATGCTAACTTTATAAACTCCCAAGAACAACATCTGCCTTCAGGCTATTTTAGGGCCCAGGTAAATGTTATATGATTTTCCTTCTTCCCTTTAGACGGATTCTAAGTAGCTATTATCTCAATCAGTGAAGAAAGACTTAGCCTTTCAACCTAAGAGGTACAGTAGATAGACAGATGCTTCACAGGTTAAGCCTCAAATAAGCAATTCATATTCAAAGCTCCTCCACTGGCACAGAAGACAAAGGGGCCCAGGGAAATACAAATCATGCATACGATGTGCAGGGACACTCCCCTTCTCCTCCCCCACCAAATCCATCCACAGATAACAAGCCCCAGGCAGAATCTAAGGTTCTTTTGAAGAGTCAGCAAAGTAAGCTCCTGGACAGGATTATGGCAAGTAGACGCTAGTCCTGCAGGGTGTTAAGTCTACAAGTGATCTTAAAAACCCAATGTCGGATTATGAGCAAACTTCACTGAAAGAGGAAATCTAAAGTTCAGATTAAGAAATGAACCTAAATTCACAGATAAACGGAACAACCGCCACCAGGCATCGAGCAGAAAGCCACCACCGAGGGACATCAGGGTAATCCTGAGATGACTTTCAACTGTTCTGGACCCTCTAAGTCGAGCACCCGCCTCCCTCCAAACTGTGGTCCAGAACCAGGCAACAATGTGTTCAGAGAGGCTTTCAGAGAAAGGCGGACTCAGTTCCTGGGACAAAACCCCACTTGGACTGCTCCATTCACGATCGTCCCACGGCTCTGCTAAGGGCCATTTTAGAAGCGATCAAATGCTGGGCAAAGGAACATGAAGCGCCTGACCTGCCTCCATCCCTACTCTAGATATCGTTATGTAAGGAGATGTGTGAAGCAGGGTCACCAGAAGTCACAGAGCAGTCACGCAACCTGCCAACCATTACCTCTAGTATCATGTAAGACACTAAACCCACATTATCTAAGCTACTAGTTATATTCCCTACAACAGAAAGGATCCTACTCAGCAACCATGTTGAGTGGAGCAATTTGAATGCCCAAATCTCCCTCAATTACTCTCAAGACAAAATACAGATGGATCAAAGATTTAAAATAAAAGGAAGAAAATACAAACGAAGATGCAAGACCATTTTAAATGCACTATCAATGTATAATACAGACTAAATGCTACATAGAACATCATTTCTATGTTAGAGAAACACCGTTAGCAGAAACCCAAACCCCTAACCCATGAGATTACAGCCCTCAGGGACTGTGCTGTCCTGTAGCCTGTGTGCCTCCTCCTCTGTAAACTACATCTCTATCGCCCTTAAGTTTTTCTCTTTACTATTTTGTGAGCCTTAAAAACCATATCCTGGGCTGTGGTTACAAGAAGGAACCTGGAAACAATGTAACAAAAATCATTTTACAGAACATGCCTCAAGACAGGTCCACAGATACGAAAAAGGACTACCAAACACAGGGTCACCATTCCCAATCTACAGCACACACACTCAGACTAAACACTGATATTTGACCTCCAAGAACCTCAAACTCTGGAACTACCTGACAGACTGCAACAGCCACGGCAGCCAAGCACAAACCAGTCTAAAACTGTGATTCCACAGCTCAAAGAATGGGTCCATACTGTACAAGGAAGATGGAACATGAAAAAATGAGCAATTCCAGGCAAGCGGAGGAGGAGATGAACTGGTAGGTCTGACCTCCTCATTCAGCTCTGGCATACAGCCATCTCGTTCTCACATGCAGCCCTGAGTTTCTCAAGCAACATCTTCAGCCTTGCCTCACCCCCCCCCCATCCTCACCTCTGCCTCCCCGTCCTCATTTCTGCCATTCCATCCTTACCCCACCTTCCCTATCCTCACCTCTTCTTCCCCCATCCTTACCCCTGCCTTTCCCATCCTCCCCATCCTCACTTCTACCTCCCTCATCCTCACCCTTGCCTCCCACATCCTCACTCCTGCTTTCCCATCTTCACTTCTACCTCCACCACCCTCACCTCTGCCTCCCCCATCCTCACCTCTGCCCATCCTCAGCCCTACTTCACACATCCTCAGTCTGTCTCCCCCATCCTCACCCCTGCCTCCCTATCCTCACCTCTGCCTTCCCATCTTCACCCCTGCATACCCCATCCTCACCCCTGCTTCCCTTATCCTCACCCCCGCCTCCCCCACCTTCGCTCCTGGCTCCCCATCCTCACCCCTGCCTCCCTATCCTCACCCGCCTCCCTTATCCTCACCCCTGCCTCCCTTATCCTCATCTCTGCCTCCACAAACTAGGCAAAGGGCTGGCTTCTTAGCAAGGCCTGAGGACAGTGACAGCTACTGCATCTGACCCAATGCCAGCTCCCAGTTTTCCACAACTAAACTTTCTCTCCTCAGCCTCACTCGGTTCTGCACTCTGGTGTCTGCCCCTTCTATGCCGACTTGTAATCCCAGCACATAGTGGGATCGTGGGTCTACAATGCCATGATTTTTGAGGCTTGCTCTGGTGAGCATGGGAAGCATGATCAACACGCAAGAGATCTGGAACACTGTTGTGAGCATCAAGACACCATGGCCCAGGGTTTCTAAAGTCAAATCAAACTGTGATCCTCCCATTCACCTGCTCCTCCTTGGGCCCCCTTTCTTAATTGTGTTGGCGCTCACCTTTGGCAAAGGTTTCTGGAAAGCCTGCATCGCCAGAAGCAGAGGAGCTGCTGTTGTCCAGTTGTAATACCTAACAAAACAAAGAGACGGCGTCAGTGAGGCAGGGCCAGCCTTTCTACTGTAATCTGGAGTGCTATAGAAAGGCTGGGGAGCCCAGTGAGATCCTTTAACAAACCCAGTGTGTTTCCTCCCTCCCAGCCCTCCACACTGATCCTATCTATCTACACAGTGCCTCCCTTTCTCCTGTTCACCTCACAGCCGTGCTGAGGGTTAAGGGTCAGCAGCAGACGGCAGTAGGGTGAACATATGAACATGCCAGGCAGCTAGTCACTAGCTGGACAGTCCCCTGCTTGACTACTCCTAGCCATGTCCTACTGAACTTCATATGGAAAGGGGGCAGACAACTTCATAATCTCCCAAGCCAACACATAGCACTCTTGCAACTTCCTCTCCAGGAGGAAAGTCTGCCAACAGTCTTCAGAGCCACTCACTGCATACCACAGACTGAGCTCCGATGGTGAGGTCTCTGCGCTACAGGGCAGCCGTGCCCTCAGACCTAGGACTAGATAGGGTCAGAGTTCCACAGTTGGAGCACCAGGCCTGACAAGGTGGATTTCAAGGTCTGGTACAGACACAAGGTGGGGCTGGGGAGCCAGCTCAGTAGATGCAGGGCCTGCCATTGTGAAAACCTAAGACCCTGATTTCAGATCCCCAGCACCCACACTGAAAAGCCAGGCCTACAGCACAGACCTGTCATTCCAGTGCTGGGAGATGGAGACAGGAGAATTCCTAGGACTTGCCTGTCTTCCAGTTAAGCCAAACCAGCAAGTTCCAGTTCAGTGGTTTGACACCCTGTCTCAAAAACTAAGGTAGAAGGCTGGGTACTATGGCAAACACTTTTAATCATAGCCACTGGCAGAGACAGGCAGATCTCAGTGAGTTTGGAGCTAACATGGTCTACAGAGTTCCAGGACAGCCAGGGCTACATAGAAAGACCCTACCTCAAAGAGTAAACCAAAACCAAAGAAGAAAAACAGGTGGACCTCTGGTCTCCGCAAGCATGCATCCACGCACGCGCACACACGCACGCGCGCACACACACACACTACAAGACTCTCAAAATGATCTAGCCCAGAAGCTGCACGTGGACATAGAAATTTACAAATAATAAAGGCAATAACTAAGTTTAACAAGACTTCATTAAGGCTCGACAGAAGCAGTTCCATTCCACTACCAAACGGACTGTCAGCAGGAACTCACTTATTACCAATCTTGACCACGAGATTGGGGTCATCGATGATAGCAGGGTTGTCTGCAAACTGCTGGTATGACACAGCCTGTTCCAGGAACGCATCTGCAGAGGCAGCAGCAGGATGGGAGGAAGAGAGAAATCACGAGTTTTTTAGAGAAACAGGACAGTTTTCAGCTTGCTCATTCCCATGTGTCTGTCTGAGTTTACAAATTGCAGTTCCTCGGACAAGCCTAGAAATCCTACAAAATGCAATTGTAAAGAGGGCTTGAGCTTGGTTTTCTGTTGTTATTTTGTTGTTGTATTTACGTGCCTGGGACGGGAGTGGGAAGGACCTCTTCCGACATCAGCAGACATGTGGGGCATGGAGCCTGCATACACAAACAGTCATGTTCTCCAGGGGCACTGGCTTGAGTCACTTCTGTTGTGGAGACCTGTGACTGGAGTCTAACCTCAATGATCTGCCTGATGGTCATGGCCACTTCCCAGGGGGTCCCAAAGATGGGAGAGGATAGCAGTCAGCATCCTGCTCAAAGCGAGGGCTTGATCACTGTCATCTATGCAAAAGGTGGGAGCCAGAGCCGTGTAAGGCCTGATGCTGCCCATGCTCAGGAGTATAGCAGACCCAGTGGTCAGAGCTGTGGTCTTAGACAGTGCGAAGGAGAAAAGGAACAAGGTGCGAGGAAGGGCTGGTGGCACCCAGGCTGGAATAAGAGGACCCAGTATGCGCATAAGAAGTCTGCAAAGCCTCAGGGGACTTCACAGTGGTCACTGGAGCAGGGAGAGAAAGTAGTGCAGTCGCTAAGAGCATGGTCAATCCCTGCTAAAAAACAGAGGAAGCAGTGGTGGAGGGAAAAGGGGGTAGAGGGAAATTAGGTCTAGTTCTGGAATTCAACAGCCCACAGCTGCTGTTACACCAGCAGGGGGGTCTCAGGCACCACTCACCATGGACCTATCACAAGATGGTCAGTTCTCACATTCCAGTACGGCAGGTGGAATGCACAAGTCATCAAGGCCTACCGGCACGGCAGCCTCCAACACCCAGAGGGGAAATGTTTGCAGAGTTCCCCATACTGACTCAACCTCCCTTCCCTCCTCTACAGCCCCACAGATTTGACACACACACCCACCGTTCTGTTACAGGAAGACTGATATGCCTAACTCACCTCCCCCCTCCTCCCCACACCTGCAGGCTCACCATGAACATTCTTCAGCCCTGGCCTGGGCACAGGGTATAGGGTAAAAGAGCTTTCAAAGAAATCCACCCTGGCTCTGAAACCAGAGCCAGTGAAAAACATACTTTAGCCCTGAACCCAAAACCAAAGAAACTTGTCCTGACTCTGAAACCCATGCCAAAGAAACATGTTTTGTCACTAGAATCAGAGTCAGTGGAAGAAATACGACCTGGCTTCAAAACTAGAGCCAAAAAGCTTTAAAAGGCCAGTGAAAGAAACACAGTTGGCTTTGAGATCAGCCATCTCTGCCCCTAACCAACTAAACTGACCAATCCCTGAGCAGGGAAAAACTAACCACTCCCTCGTCTCCCTGGGCCTGTTCAGTTTGCGGCTGCTCTTCTTCCATCCTGGTAGAGGCAACCACTCTCCTGGACTCTTCCCTCACAATAAATCTCTTGAATGAGGTTTGGATGAAGGGCAGAGCAGAGAAGAGAAGAGCAGGACTGTAACACTTTGGTTGGGGAAACCTTCCCATAGCAGCTTGTTACAGCTTTGCAGGGGAAGTCAGAGCTGAGCTGAGCGGGAAAAACCTTCCCATAGCACAGCAGAGTTGCGACGCTCCCCGGTTGTAACAACTTCACTGCAAAGCCCTCTCCTGCGGGAGCAGAGCTGTCACATTGGGGAAGCATTCCCTAGAGCAGAGCTGTAAGCTGCTAAGCTTACTGTGGCCTGTGCTATTCCCTGGCTCCTGACCGCCAGAGCCCTCATCCACCCGAGCTGGAACACTTGGCTCCCGACTGCCAGGATCCCTTTCCTTCTGAGCTGTCACTTCCACAGGCGGCACCCGATTGTGCTCAATGATCACCTCCGAGGATAAATGCCCCAGCAGCGTTCTTGCTTCCTGATGGCTCTTGCACCCCGTCCTTGCATTCTAAGGACAGCTAACTGCAGCTGGACACGTGTGGGGCAAGAGAACACGAATCTTCTGTGCGCTCATCAACCGAAACCTTCTGCCCAACGACCACTAGAGGGTGCTGTCCCATAGAGTCCAGTACCTTTGGTGATGTCTCTGTGGTCACTGAGGCCACCACAGAGGGAGATGGCTATGGACGGCAGGTCCCTCAGGCCATCTGAGGTGCTCTCCACACCACTGTCGATGCCCGAACTGGCCACAGACTGTGGGGACTGGTTGGCTGACCTGGCTCCATTGTCACAGGCTTGTTTGGGGAGCCCAGCAGGATCACCACTGAAAGGAGGGGAAAGAGAAGCTGTTCTGAGCACCACCATCCATCCTCACTCTGACTGTTACATCAAACGACCCTCCAGAAGGCCACAACACCTCAGAGAAGCAATTACTAGCACCTCGGGGCAGCTTTGCCATCAAAACATCAGTAAAGACAGCAAAGTCAAATGAGCCACCTCAGGAGGGCCTGCCACAGTCTCCTGTGACTCTCCAGACCCATATGAACCTTGAGAAAGCCTGTGCCTGGGACGTCACTGTTATCCACTGGCAGCCCCTGCCCTGTGTACCGTATCCCAAGGGAGCTAAGGCTGGGTGCTCCAAGCACGGAGTGAATCTCTCCAAGGAGGACCATACGGAGGCCTCTCTCACTTGGATTGTGCACTGGTCACAGCAACCCAGCCTCTGACTCCTTCATGAGATAGCATTGAGCTCACATTCCTGAAAAAAAGGGTAGAGGACAGTCACGTGTCCATTCCCCCTACCCCCTCAACACCCTAACCTCTCCCCCACACACACACAGAGATACATATACAGACACACACCCCGAGTCTGACACAGCACACGGAGCTGAGGCTGTGCCCAGGTTAACTACGAGCCTCTAGTGCCCCTGCTTCACTATCAGCCAAGAGAAACTGAGCTCTTCTGGAACTACAGAAAATGGTTATCAGGGACAGACGTGACGGCTTAACCCTGCAAGAAGCTGAGGCAGGAGGACCACCACATGTGCAAGGACACCCAAGACTACATGGTGAGATTCTATCGAAAACAAAGAATAAAGTAGCTGAGCAATGAGAACAACTTTTACTTCTTGGGGAAATACAGGGCTGCCACTTCAGGGTCCATGTCTGTGAGGTCATCCAGATACACGCCGTCAGCTCCCAGGTGTCGACTCCGCTTATCTGAAAGAGTGCAAGGAGCAGGTCAGAAATCAACTCACAGGTTTCCATCCCCATGAAGAGCACCTGAGCCCACAGTGCAGATCTGCTCCCTGGTGGCATCGCCGCCCCCAGCCCAAGAGCCACACAGTGAGAAGCCGGCAAGCACATCACTGCAGAACCGGCAGGGTCCAGCACTCCCTTCCGCCTGGTCCAGAGAGAACAAGCACTCAGCCTCAGGCCTCCCTCATGCACAGAGGGCCATGATCACCGTGATTATTAGTTGGGGATGACAAGTCCTCTCCTGAATACTTCCCTCAGGATGCTCTGAGGCACAGCATCCCTACAGCTGTGGGTCCCTGTGCACCATGTCTACCGACTTCCTCTCTTCTCCCTACTGAGAACTGTGTAGCTGGTTCATGCAAACCCAGGGTGTTGCACAACACGACCTGGCTAGCCAGGGTGGGGCTCGGCATCACTAGCCAGCACGGACGGTGAGCTGACAAGGCCGGGGAAACAGAAAGATCTCTACCAGTGCTAAATGAGTCTGACCCACACCAGACAAGGGGCTCTATCTCCTCACTTGGCAGGAGAGCACAGATTAAAGAATCAACATGAGACGGCACAGATGTGGGTCTTCTCTGACTGCACTGCCTCTGGTGTGGGCAGCGAGCTTGGGGGGAAGCTGGGAGACCCAGGCCGGCTCTACCTTTCTTTCTGGAAGGGGAGTCTGTTTTGTTCATTGTCTGTGTTGTGCTGGCAGCTGGGGGCTTGAGCTCTTCAGCCACGGGGAACGGTGGGGCTGCAGCTCCTAACGCCTCAAGATCCTCCTCGTTCACAAACTGCATTTCCGTCTGTGCCTTGCTCTGGTGAAGCAGCGGGCCCGGGGCCAGTGTTGGCGACTGGTCACTAAAGGTGTCTGAAGACTCACTATGAATGGCCTGAAAGCGAATTTTATCAGGAATCTTCCGGCTCCCTAAGGGGCTGGAGTCTTTCATCTTGTGTGGAGAAGATGACTAGACAAAAGGAGAGAAAAAAAGAGGAGAGTTGAAAGCCCCCCGCAAAGAGCCAAGCTGAGGCACCAAATGGCGAGAGGTCAGAGTCAAGGATTCGGATTCGTGATGGACTCTTCAACGCCAGAACAGCCTGGTGGGTCCCATGCCTGCCTAGAGAACCTAGGGTCACAATTTCCACAGCAAACATGCTTCCAGCGCAGATGGCACAGTCCTGGTGTCCTATCTCTCCCATCGCAAAAGCCATACCAAACACACCTGGCTCCCAGGCTTTCACCTCCGTTGCCAAGACCGAGGGCTGGACAGCACACATGGTCTTTGTGGGGATGGCAGGGCTGTGGACACTTGGGGTCCAACACCAAAGATAAGTGAGAAGACACTCTGCCGCACGGCATCTCCACCAGGGCGTGCGTGCTGTGCTGAGGAGCACCCCACCCCCACCCCACGCTTGCCAGCTCCCACGAGCCCTGTGCACTCCCTGCAGCTCTTTGGTTTCCTTATTTCCCTTGTTCTCCTGAGTCTAGGCAGAACTCAGTTACGTTTATGGCTAAGAGTAAAAAGTAAGAAAGCACAAGAAAGAAAGAAAACATCAGCTGACAAATAGGAGTGAGAGGGCAGGGAGGTGAACGATGGGCCGGGTGAGATACTCTACAGCAATGAGAACAGATGCAGGACAACGGGGGCGGTGAGGAGGGGGAAGCCCTGCAAAAGCAGCCCCCGTGCCTGCAGGGCAAGAGGGCGCTCAGAAGGGTAAGGCTCTCCATGCTGCTGGCCACCCACAGCCTCTCTGGGACCAGGATCAGGCTGCACACACACACACACACACACACACACACACACACACACACACACTGTCAAAGTACAAAACTGCATACGTCAAACCTGCAGCTCTCCAGACACATGTATCCCATTTCAATAAAGCTTCTCCCCGAAACAGTGACTGACAAGGACCTGGTGGTGATGGGCTTACACGAGAGGGGAGTGCACAGGATCCACAGTGCACTCCACAGTGCAGGGATCCACAGTGACAGAAAAATGTAGAAAAACAGAAACTGATGCTCACCAGCAGGCCCCTCCCTATCTGCTATCCCTGGATCCCTCGCAAAGAAAAACAAATGTCACAGGTTTGCAGTTAGAACCACCTTGCCAGAAGGGGTGGCCCTGCCCCTTCACTGTCAGTTGTGACACATACTGGAAGTGCATATGCTCAAAATAAACATATTCACCGAGTCAGAAGCCCAGCTCCACATCCCTTTGCAAGGCTGGGATACTAACTCCATGCAGTCAAAGCTAACTCAGAAATCCTCAGAGTGCCGCGGAATGGAGATTAAAAGCTTACCTTGGCAGCCTGCGGCAATTCACCCCAAAGCCAGAGCATTTCCAGGTTACTCTTTGGTGTGGACCTGTCTGCAGACCTACTAACCAATTCAGAATCGCTCTTTGGTGTTGAGGGACGGGAGCCTGAAGGACTTAAGAAAACACAAACCCATCATTCGAGTGAGAAAAGAAAAATCTTTGTCCCAATTTTTATCCCAGTGTTCCAGCAACCCAGAAAATAGATCTCTGCCGCGATTCCCATCTGACAATCCCTCCTTTGACCACCAGAGGTCAGTGTGCACCATGTCCAACAAGGTGACCAGCCTTGGAGCCAAATTAAGAAAAAAATGAGGAGCTATATTTTGGGGAGAATAGGTGAATAGAATCAGAACTTGAAACTCTCAGAATAAGAGGAGGAGAAGAGGAGGAGGAGGAAGAATCAGAGAGGAAAAGGGAGCGGAAAAGCAGGAGAGAGGCTCTTGGGCACAAAACGCTGTCCTATGCCACACCTGGCTCCCTCAGGCTCCCATCTTCCTATCAAACAGCTCAGCTTTCAGCCAGGCCAAAAGGGTCCCAGCCAGTTGATGCTGCATCCCAGGTTAAACACTGGCTTTGAGAACTTCATTACACTGGATAACGAGGCAGCTGTCTCCAGGAACACATCAAAAGGCTCTGTGGACCCAGCACGCTGCTCGGTCTCAGGCCAGCAGGGACGGCGATGCACCTCACTTCCACACAGCTCGGTTTCACGTCTAACATTGAACCAAGCCCTGTGTCTATCCAGCCAGATTAATGGGCTACGAGAATCAACTTAGGGCCACATTCTCTCCTCAGACACCAAGCTGAGAGGCAGGAAGAAGTGGCTGGCGTCCAGGTTTCCTCTCTCTGTATTCTCTCCAGCACTTTCTCAAGGAGAACACGGCCGCCTTTTACACAAAGCAGGAGGCAGCTTCTCCGCTGGCCCATCTGTGTCCCCACCCCTACTCCCACCACACTGAGTCTCACTTATCTAAGTCAAGTTCCATCTCCAACTCAAGATGGCGTTTCCTGCCACCACAAGCAGAGGTCCCTTGGCAGTACGCACAATACCACGGCCACATGTAGCCTGTATCTATCTGAGAGATTTTCTACATAGCTAGCCTGGCCCTGACACTTCCCCGAAGCCAGACTACAGGCTGTGTGGCCCTCATTTCACACTGATGTATAGGACCCCTTCCCTTGGCCCGCTGACCACTGATTGTTCCAATGAAAGCACCCTGCCATGGGGTGACCCTCACGTTCCAGCCCTGTCTGTGAGGGAGGAGGCTCCTGGTACATCATAGCATGAGAAATTCTACAATGGACCCATACAACACATACTACACACGCACACACACACATGTGCACACACACACACGCATGCACACACACATGCATGCACACACACACGCATGCACACACACGCACACACACGCATGCACACACACACGCATGCGCACACACACGCATGCACACACGCACACACACACACACACACACACATTTAAAAATAGTTTAAGGCACAGTGGAGAAAGGGAGGTGGGCCTGGCAGTGCACATCTTTAACCCCAGCAATTAAGGGGCAGAGGCAGGCAGATTGCGTTGAATTCCAAGCCAGCCTTGTCTACACAACAAATTCTAGGCCAGCCAGGGCTACACTAGTGAGATCCTGCTTCAAAAAAAACAAAATCCACAGGGCGTTTTTTCTCTTTGGGGGGCTGGAGTCAGTAAATACTTAAATGTGAAATTAAATTTAAGTTTTAAGTCAAATGAAACTGTAAAAGTTATGTTTCCCAGATAGGAATTAATCAATGCTTACTTTGATAATAAAAGTGGAGGAGGAATGTCCACAAAGTTAGCAAATACTGGGGAATAAGAGGAAAAATCTCAGACACCTGATCCTAATAAAAAGGAAAAAAACCTATACCCTAAGACCCATCCTATGCCATTCTTCTAAACTCCATTCTAGAAACGCTGGGAAGAGTGTCTGACTCCATTCTGCAGACAGCTGATAGGCTGTTTAAATATTTATAGTAAGTGGCTCGACTTATTTACTAAAGTGACATTCTAAAAGTAGCCTACAGACTTGTCTGCCAAATGACCCACCACAGGAAAGATCAAACAGTCTCAAGTTCCCTGTCCTGGCTTTCAAGGCCACCCAGAGAGGTATGTAGATCACTAGAAGGATTTTGAACAAGTTCAATCAGATCTCAGCAGTGCAGAGCACATGCTGCTCTTCTAGAGGACCCAGCTTAAATTTTCCTTCCCAACGCTAGTTCCAGGGGTCCATCGCCCTCTTGTGGCTCCCTAGGGCACTGCATTCATGTGATACACGAACATACATACAGGCAAACATTCATACCCATGGAAAGTAAATAATTTCAAATAAATAGACAAGACTAATCACTTATGGCTCACAGTGAAAGGAGGTATGTATTTTTCATAAGTAAGTTGGTTAGTGAGCAAAATTGATTTTATGTATTAGATCAAACTTTCTATTTCATAGCAGCTGTCAGTAAGTTCTTCACAAGTCACTGGGTTAAGGGAAAGTAAGACAGAGAGGTTAGATCACGGCTTATGTAAGAACTGGTCTACCTTTCCGAAGCACGGAAGTGGGAAGACTGTGGAGGGCAAGAGCTAGAGAGAACTCCCTCGGCCACTACTGCAAGGTGAGGGGGAGTCCTCTGGCAATCTACCAGGCTGCTGGAGGCACCGAAAGATGCACAACAAAAAGAAAGGAAAAAAAATAACAGGTCAGTTCAATGCAATCTCCTATGGCTGCTTCAGCGGCTCTCAGCAATAACAATTCTAAGAAGGGAAAGCATTTGGCTGTTCAACAGCAAAGGCGAGTCTATGTTGAGATCAGTGGGAAATAAACATGAACCTTCTATGAGGTAGAGTCTCCTATTACCAAGGTTGACCTCAAACTGTTCCTCTTTCTCCACTTCCCACTTGACGGGGTTATAGGCATGTACCACTATGCCTTGTTTTACCCTGTGGTGGGGAGTGAAGCCAGGACTTCACATATGCTAGGCAAGCACGCCCCTAACTTGAGCTACTCCCCCGGACGGGAGCATTAACTTTCTGGGTTGCAAAGACAGGAAGCTGCCAAAAGACCCATTGGCTTCCCATTTTATCCTGTGTCCTGAGAAAAGACAAGATCAGCCATGTCTGGTTGAAGCTGGGCACTGAATCAAACTACATGATCCAAAGACTTGAACATGGGTCCTGTCTATGGTCTCCTTAACAAAAACACATCATTCTGAGTGTGGACATGAGTATCTACTTAACCTAATGTATAATCCATTTAACAACAGTCACAATCTTATGCTACCAGTATCCTGGACTCATGAAGCAAAGAAAGACAAACATTCTCTGGGCTGGTTTGAAACATTCTGTCTGCGTGCGTCAGGTTAATGAATTGATTTTTCAGTTGGCTAGCAGTTTCCTAAGATCCTGCATTGTTTTCTTCCTAAACCCTAGGTTTTCTCTTTGTAGGGGTCATCTCCCCTGAGCCAAGACAAGAACACATGAGGCATCTTAGAAATCCTGTCCTACACAGTGAGCACTGCTCACATGCGGCCAGCTGAAACTGACCTACGCTGAGTCACCGACCTTAAAGACTTAAAAATATCTCGCTAATGAATTTTGTGTTTTGCTTTGTTTGTTTTTCAAGGCAGGGTCTCTCTGTGGAGCCCTGGCTGTCTGGAACTTGCTCTGTAGACCAGGCTGGCCTCAAACTCACAGAGATCTGTTTGCCTCTGCCTCCTGAGTGCTGGGATTTGTGTGCCACCATCACCCAGCTCAAAATACCCTGCTAATGTTTTTAAATAAACTTCTACAAAATATAGGTCAAACAAAATCTACCTTTGAAATTACTTTCATGTTTTTATAGAGGTGTGTGTGTGTGATGTATGTATAGGTATCCACAGAGAGGAGAAGGAGGCACAGGATCCCTGAAACAGGAGCTACAGGCAGTTGTGAGACACCCAAAGTGTGTTTTGGGAATCAAACTCGGGTCCTCTAGAAAGCAGGCGGTGCTTTTCACGTCTGAGCACATATAGTGGCTGAGTCTTAACTGTCAGCAGGACAGAATCTACAGTGACCCAGGAGATGGGCTCCTGGACAGGACTGTGGAGGATTACTTTGATTTGGTTAACTGGGATCGGCAGATCCACCCCACTGTGGGTGGCATTATTCCCTGCGGGATCCTGGACTCCATGAAAGGAGAAAGGGGACGAAGGACTGGCACACGTTTATCTCTCTGCTTCCTGACGGTGGATGCCCTGTGACCAGTGGCCTCAAGCTCTGCCTTGACTTTGCTGCGGGAAAGACCAGACCCTTGAACTGTGAACCAAAGGAAACTGTTTTCCCCTTAAGGTTTTTTCTCTTGGGGTATTTTATGACGACAATAGGAAAAGAAGTTAAACCAGAAAACGTTTAAGCTACATACATGTAGCTAAGCAATAGGTTCCTAATGGCAGGGCTGACATCTACACAGGCAGCCCCCCGTCCCTTGGCAGACCACATTTCCTGCCAGTCCAAGCTGGAATCAGACATGGGACACACTACACTACAGCCCACACTGCTGGCCGTTGCTGCCTCATTCTCAAGATGTCGCTGAGCAAACTGGAACCAAAAGGGGTGCTTTGGCAAGGCTGGCAGCCCACACTACAGACCCAGGGTGCAGCCGCTGCCATTCTAAACTACAAGTACACCACAGTACCAGGTGGGACAGCCCATGGATGGCACAGCCATGTGCTTCTCAGCATCTTCTCCACTACCTCCACAGCCCCAAGCATCCTGAGCAAGTTAACAATCTGTCCTCTACCCACCACGACAGTTAAAGCTGTGGTCCCTTAGGGGCCGCAGACCATTATGCCCAGGATTTGTCTGCCACTCAAGAACCAAGCAGTTTTCACCCTAGCAGGGGTAAGCCTGTCCCATGGAGAGCATGGGATTTCGATCTATGTCCTTCCTAGGCTCTGGGAAGAAGCACTCTGAAGGCCCTCCTGACCTCATAGGTGGCATGGCTCTGAGAGCCTCTAGAGTCTTTGGGAAGGTCAGGTGTACTCTGTGCGGCTGCAGCTGGGCTCTCGGGTTCATATGGGCACTCCAGGACAAATGGGAGGGCATTTCAGGGAAACATGTGGTCCTGAACCCAGCAGTGTGGATTAGCTGTAGGCAGTATCCCCACAACAGTCCTGAGTGACGTCAGAGAGCCCCAGCAGCAAAGTTCCTACGTTTGAACTCCACTTCAGGGCTAAGGACCAAGGCCAGGTTGGCCGTGCTGACCTCTCCTGCTGCCAATGGGGATTGGGTAACTTAGCAGGTTTTTCTTTCTTCCTGTATGCCTTCCCCACAGAACCTTGCAACATGTCTGCAGATTGAGTCTAGATTCGATGCAAGGCATATTTTCTGATCCTAACGATTTTCAGTTTTAATTTCTATTTCTGGGTTTTCTGAGACATGCTTCCTAACGCTGACTTCTAGACCCTCTAGATCAGAAAAGGCAACCTCTGACACAGAGAAGCAACTTACCTGGGACTGGGGGACCACTCTCGATCTGAATTGGGGTACGATGCTGACTGGGGATATGATGAAATTGAGGGGAGATTTTCCTTAGGAATATCGTCTTGGAATGGTGGCACATCATTAGGGAGAGTTCTGGGGGTTAAAAAAGCCAAAAGTTACCAAGGGCAGATTCACAATAAAGCCAAGTTTCTTCTTGAGTACATCTAAGGGCTTCATCAGTCAGCAGGATCTCTGTCACACTCAGACACATTCTAGAAAGTGAGATGGAAAGGGAAAAGGTGAAATGTCGGCATATATAAATGTGTTTGTGCATGGGTGGATTGTAAACTCAGTGATTTCACCAGCGCATGAACATGGTGAGCATGCTAGTGAAGTACCACTGATCCTCAAGCACGTGTGTGTATCCTGGAGCACCCTCAAAGTGTGTGTGTACTCCTGCAGCACCCTCAAAGTGTGTGTGTGTGTGTGTGTGTGTGTGCGCGCGTGCTCACACATGGTAGGCAGGCACTCTACCAGTAAACTAACTGAGTTACTGCCTACTTTGCATATTTAGAAATAGGGTCTCACTAAGTCACTCAGGCTCGTGATCCTCCTGCCTCAGTTTCCCTGGTTCTGGACCTCCTGGTGTGTGCTACCACACCTGGCTACCACACCTACAGCCTCTTGCTGTCACCTTTCACACTACCCCTCACCAGAGCCTAAGTGGCAGGTCAGCCAGAACTGGATGCAGATGTTCCAGAACATTCCCATATACAGGGGGAATGCCATTTAAATAAACAAATCACACAGAACTGGATCCTGATGTTCCAGAGCATTCCCATATACAGGGGGAATGCCATTTAAATAAACAAATCCACACAGAACATGCTTTATGTCTATTCGGGTAAATCAACGGCATTAATAATGTGCATCTTTGACCTGAACACGACTGTAAAACTCCCTGGCCTCAGACAGGAGCACAGACCCCACTCCCACAGAAGCCATCTGCCTACACCTCTGGTGCTGCTGGAACTACCTGTGGCCAGGCTCTGAAACGGAAGCCACAAAGAAAAGGCCATTATAACCAGCCCAAGCCAAATAGTCCCAGTACCCACAGTAGGTTAAATGCTACAGTTCGTAAAGGCGATGATGACAGCCAAGTTCCAGTATAAGCCAGAAAAAAAGGACATCTGAGGACTGGAGGGTGTGGCTCCATTGGCTGCTTGCCTATCAAGTTCAATCCCAGTACAACAGAAATTGAGAGTCGCCTACACCTATGATCCCAGCATTTGGAAGGTAGAGGCAGGAGGACCAGAAGTTCAAGGTCATCTTCAGCCACATAAGATCCCAGCTCAAAATATAAAATACAGCAACAAGGAAGTGGAGGAACATTCCATCCCTGGTGTTCTCTATCTTTTCTTTATGTTAGCGAGACATAAAAATTATCAAAAGCCACATGGAATTATATAAAAATCTGAGACAGCAAATAATATTTAAAATTTAGTTTTCAAAATTGGCTTTTTGCACCAAAATACATACTTACAAACAGAGCTTTGTGGCAGTCTTAGAAGCAAAGCAAACTAAAAGGAGACAGGCTCATTAAATTTAGGAATAATTCAAATTATAACGGAAAGGTTTGCTTAACATAAAGTGAGTTTGGGCTCCAGCCACCTTTGGCTCTGAGTTGACTGAATACCCTCTGCGCCTACAGATCTCCCTCAAGGCCACATGCAGAGTTGGGGCTCAGGGAACAATAGCCAGGTTCTGGACAGCCAATGAGAGGGCAAAGGGTGCCACAGAGATGCTTGGTGCCACAGGCTTGATCCCCAGCACCAATAAATAAATCAAAATGCTGAGAAAACAGTTGTGTTCATGAAATACTCATCTGCTGATTCTTGTGTCTCGATTCTATTTCAGATAGCTGAGGTCATCAGCCACGGAGGAATGGTGTGACTGACTGTGTCTTAGATTAAAAAACTAAAACAAGGCTTCATCCCCTCCATGCGGGGTCCACTGCCTGCCTGCAAAAATTCAGTCTAAGATGCCTAACAGAAAAACGAAAAGTTAAAAAAAAAAAAAAAAAAAACTATGGCTGGGCAATGGTGGCGCACGCCTTTAATCCCATTACTCTGGGAAGCAGAGGCAGACAGATCTTTGTAAGGTCGAGGCCACACTGGTCTACACAGGAAGCTCCAGGAAAACCAGGGCTGTTATACAGAGAAACCCTAACTCAGAATAAATAAATAAATAAATAAATAAATAAATAAATTGATGGAAATCATCTTTAAATGTAACTCATTTGGGACTAGAGATATAGTCCAGTTGGTACTTGCCTCGCACGCCTAACTCTCAGATTCAAATCCAGCCCCATCTGACAGAGCATGATAGTGTATGCCTATAATCCCAGCATCTGAGAGCAGGGGCATGCTGGTCAGAAGCCCAAGGTGATCCTCAGCTACAGACTCAGCTCAATTTGTTGAAAAAAGAAACTAGCTCACCCTCCTCCAGCCCAGAGCCCGTCTTCCTCAGCTCACCCTCCTCCAGCACAGAGCCCATCTTCCTCAGCTCACCCTCCTCCAGCACAGAGCCCGTCTTCCTCAGCTCAGCTCACCCTCCTCCAGCCCAGAGCCCGTCTTCCTCAGCTCAGCTCACCCTCCTCCAGCCCAGAGCCCGTCTTCCTCAGCTCACCCTCCTCCAGCACAGAGCGCGTCTTCACGCCCTGTTTACCTGCTTCCGTCCATCGGTGCTGTGTCCTCATCAGAGCTCATCTCTATGGGAAACATGTCTTCATCCTCAGACGTGTTGACGTTCTCATCTCTTTTGAGATTGTCCAACTGAGACTTCCTCCTCCTTTTCCTCCTCTTCTTCCCCAGGGAACCAGTGGATGGGGTGTCACTGGGAGGCAGGCCCTGGGCAGCTGTGGTGGGATCCAAGCACCTGATTCTATCCACGGAGTTCCTTTTCAGCTGGCTTTCCATTCGAGAAGCTCCTTCCGACAGGATGGGAGATGTGGCCAGATACATGGGGATGACTTCCTAAACAGGGCACGTGTAGTGATATTTTATTTGTAGTTTAATAAATAAAGCTCACTTGAAGATCAGAGACCCACAGACCAGGCAGTGGTGACACACACCTTTAATCCCAGTAGCCATGCTAGTTTGTCATAGAAACCAGGTAGTAGTGATGCACGGCTTTAATCCCAGCCCTAGAGAGGAATATAAAATGGGAGGAAACAGCTCTCAGACACAGTCTCATTCTGAGATTCCTGGAGGCAGGATCGCCACTTCAGACTGAGGTAGAGGTAAGAGCCAGTGACTGGCTGCTGTTTTGCTTTTCTGACCTTCAGGTTGAACCCCAGTGTCTGTCTCTGAGTTTTTATTAATCGTGCTATATTTGGTGCCCAACATGGGGAAGAATTCAAGACCCTGAGGTTAAGAGTCTCGTGCTACAGGCAGGTGTTCAAGAGTCCCGTTAACACAGGTGAAGGAGGGCCATGACGAAGGGAGAGAGACACAGCAGGACAACACAACATCTCATGGTTATGAGGATCAGAGCCATGAAGTCCTCAGATACTGTTTTATATCAGCACAGCATCCCTATAATCATAACCAGTCAGGCCATTGCCAGTGACGTAAGAGAAAAATGAGGGCAAAGTCGTGACACTGTTGCTGGGACCCAGGCACAGTTTTACGTTACTTTGAGTGTCAGAGTAAGTAGGAGTGGGTTTCGATGGATAAGTGGGTATGTGTGTGTAAGTGTGTGTTTTCACATTCCAGCACGAGGCCCAGTCTAATTAAAAAAAAAAAAAATCCAGGTCACAGTTCACCTACAGGCCTGCCACTCCAGAGCACATCCAGCTGTGTAGCCAGTATGCTAGGAGACAGGGACCCCTCAGAGAGAGCTGGAGAAGAGTAAGACCTGCCACAAGCAGAAGGGGACAGTGGGTGACAGAGTATGCAGGTCCCAGCTCTCAGCAGGCTCCCAGCCGCCACAAATGCTGAGCCGGCCACTACACAGCCTCTGTAGCATCCAGGCCCCAAGTGACTCCTGACTCCCAGAGCCTAAAATGGGCCTCAGCCAGGAGCAATAGGAGGTTACAAAAATCTCAGCTAGGAAATTCAGGCCTTCCCATTTAGACAGGAGTTGCCTGGAGGCTGAGGGGCCGCAGCAGACAGTGGGGCAGAGCAGCCCTTGGCTTCCAGCCCAGAAGCAGTTCCCTCAGGCAGCAGATGACGGGAAGTCTAAACCTCAGATGCTGGAGCTTCCTTCCCAGTAAGGGACCAGGTGAAGTCTGGAACCCTGCCCAAGACTGCTTCACAGGGCCCCCAACAGGCTGTTGGGTGTCTTTCTCCGTCACGCTCCACCCTACAGCATTGAGACACAGTCTCTCACTGAACCTGAAGCTGGCTGTTTCAGCTAGACTGGCTGGCCAGCCAGCACGGTCTCTGGATCTGCCTGTCTCTGCCCCCCAAGGCTAGGATCACAGCCACGTACTGAGCTTTTTTTAAACTCGGGTGCTAGAGATCCAAACTCAGGTCCTCGAACTTGCAACGCGAGCACTCTTACACCACAGAGTCATCTCCTCGGGTCCAGCCCCTCAAAGTGTTAAACATTAAGCCACCACACAATCCAGTAATTTCACTCCTAGGTATACACTGGGGAGGGGTGGGGGTGAGACCTGAGCTTATGTTCTCACAGAAACTTGAATACAAATGCACACAACATCATTACTCACGCTCACCACAAGGTGGCGACAACCCAGGAGACGACTAGGTAAACGAAATGTGGTCTAACAAACTTCTGAGCCACTGAAATCACTCAACAGTTTGGGCCCAAAACAGGACTCGCTTGGTAAGGAACCTCTTGCGAAGCCTCACAATTTGAGTACCGTCTCTGGGATCCATGCAGAGGAAGAAGAGAACCCGCTCCCGAAAGGTGTCCTCTGATGTCCACACATGCTCTGGCACACACACACACACACAAATAAACTAATAACAAAACTGAAATTCAGACATGTGCGGTTCCACGCGCTGCACAATGTGAAAGACATCAGGCACAAACGCAGTATCCCTGCGTGGTTTCAATCAGAAGAAAACTCAAAATAGGGTGGACTGGCTGGTTTTGCATGTCAACTTGACACAAGCTAAAGTCATCAGAGAGGAAGGACCCTCAGTCAAGGAAAAGCCTTGATGAGATCCAGCTGTAAGGCATTTCCCATTTAGCAATCAATGGGGGAGAGCCCAGACCATGGAGGGGGTGCCACCCCTGGGATGGTGGTGCTGTAAGAAAGCAGGCTGACAAGCCGTGGGGAGCAAGTCAGTAAGCAGCACCCCTCCATTGCTTCTGCGTCAGCTCCTGCCTCCGGGATCCCACCCTGCTTGAGTTCCTGTCCTGACTTCCTTCAGTGACGGACAGCAAGGCTGAAGTGTGAGCCAAGTAAACCCTTTCCTCCCCAACTTGCTCTTTGGTCGTGGTGTTTCATCACAGCAATGGAAACCCTAAGACATAGGGACATGGCAACTGCTCTGGGCTTGGGTGCTGAAAGATTGAATATAAAGAGGTGGTACATTCAACATGGATTTTTTTTTTCAGGTGATTACAGCATTCTGAAACTGAACAGAATGATGGCTGCGTTTATCTGTGTACCAACTAAAAATCCCAATGAAGCACACTTGTGATAGCTAAGATGTATGAGTGTCTCAATAAAACTGTCAAGAAATCATAACTGCTTGCTGTAAAAGCAAGAGAACTTGAGTTCAGATCCTCAGCATCCATAGACCAGCTGGGCATGAGCACACAGTGCCTGTACGCCAAGCACTGGAGGACCACGACAGGAGGGTCACCAGAGATCAGTGCCCAGCCAGATTCACCAGACAACAAGCTTCGAGTTCCGGGAGAGAGCCTGTCTTAAAACTAGGGTGAAAGTGAAGAGAAAGACACCGACATCCTCCTCTGGCCTCCACGTGTGTGTGTATTGGCACAATCACCAGTACACACACACGCGTATACACCATACACGGACACATACCCCATGTGGTAGTTTGAATGTCAATGGGCCCCATAATCTCATAGGGAGTAGCACCGTTAGGAGCCACACTATTAGGTGTGGCTATGTTGGAGTAGGTATGGCCTTGTTGAAGGAGGTGTGTCACTGTGGGGGCGGGCTTGTGGGTTTCCTATCCTCAGGACACCACCCAGTGTCTCAGTTGACTTCCTGTTGCCTTCTGATCAAGATGTAGCCAGCACCATACCTACCTGCATGCCACCATGCTCCCCGCCATGATGAAAATGAACTGACCCTCTGAAACTGTAAGCCAGCCACCCCAATTAAGTGTTTTCCTTAGAAGAGTTGCTGTGGTCATGGAGTCTCTTCACAGCAATAGAAACCCTAACTAAGACACACCATATACACACAGTAACAATAATAACAGAAAAAAGTATTTTGGCGTACTAAATTAAAATGACCTCTCACCTGGTCATTGTCAGTCTCCTGAACGAAAAAGGCTTCTCCATTGTCTCCCAGCTTCATGTGCAAATCCACAGACTCCCCGTTGATCTCTATGTCCACCTGAAGGGAGGACACAGAGAAGGACACAGTGAACGTCCCTGAAAGCTGACACCTCAAGTCTCAGTAGGTGTCCCTCATCCAAATACACCTGCCCTGAGCACTGGGAAGGGAGGAGGGAGGGAACTTGGGTTTCTAAATGTGTATACTGGTCCTTTTTAATGCTGCCATTGTTGTTTTAGAACCTTCCATTCCCCACCAATGTGCAGCCATCCCCTCTCCTGGAGGATGAGAGAGGCTTGTGACTGACACCCAACCACAGGACTTCAAAACAATGTCATAAAAACATCATGTACCCCAGGCTTGTGACTGATGTCCACCAGCAGAATGCAATACAAGTCACCCCATTGGACTTTCGGGAAACAGCTCATAAAAACACCATGCCCACCTAGTCTCCCGTGAGCAGCAGCCATGCAGTAAGGGAGCCAGATCACGTGGAAGGACTCTGCCTGGCAGCCTTAGCTGAGAACACAGAACCAGCCCCCAGGCACAGGAGGGAGTGGGCGCTCCCTTGCTTTGCAGCATTATGCCCCTCTGCCCTGGCCTGTTCTGCCTTGAGCCTCTGACTTTGATAAGCAGGGGTGTGCCTGTCATCTTGGAGTAACTGACACCACACTAGTAACTGGAACAAGGGGATCGTTGGGGAGCATTAAATTATGTTGAGTGTAAGAGCTCAGGCCAAGGGGGGGAGCACCCTCACGCTGCTGTTCTCTGTGGAGAGGGTGTCCAGGCCTCACCACTTTCTCCCGGGAACGCAGAACACCCATCTTCCCGAAGCGGACGTGGAAAGGAGAGCACTGCAGACTGCCATTGGGCTGGCGGACGACGATGATGTCGATGCATCCTGACAGCGTGGCAGGGTTCAGTCCCTTGTAGAGCTCCTTTACGGTCACAAACACCTGGCCAGCCAGCTGCCCCACGTAATTCATTGTCTGAACCTGAGGGACAAGACACAGCACACAAGTTCACAAAGGCACCTAACACAGGGCAGCTGCCCAAAGGCTCCAACTCAGCGCTTCTCCACATCAGGGATGTGGTAGTGTACACACCACTTTGTCTCTGGAATGTTCTCCACAACACCCCTGCATTGGCCCCTTTCTCCCACTCCATCAAGAAGCTTGGCATTCTTCCCACCACAGGGTCCAGCACAGCAAGGCCCAAAAGTCCTAATGGGGGTACCACTGGGCTTAGTCCATACATCCCAGGACGACTATGAATGTGACCTCACACATTTGTTTGGCAATGTTGTCTCGTTGGGACCCTGGAGTAAAGAGAGTGCTTCATCTGTGTGACTAACGGGAGACTGTGCCTCCTAGGGATCCAGGAGATGTGACCACGCAGATCACTGTTCCATAAGCCGTCCTCGTTTTTCCATTCCCAGGCCTTCCATGCCCTGATGCTCCCTGGGCCTCAGACAGGGTGACATCTATGTCCCAATTAGTGCCAAGCACTTAGCACACACTTATTCTCAACACTTTGACAAGTTATGAGCCCCGCCCCCCCCCATCTCGACCAGTGCTCACAGCTGAAAGGTGTCCCTGACCAAGTCTGAGAGCTGCGCTTGCCCCTGTGGGTAAACACGAACTGTTCAGGCGCTGGCAAGATGGCTCCGCTGGTTAAGCCTAACACGGAGGAATGGGAACCAATCACTCTACATTCGCAATGACACCCATGCCCACACACACAAAGTAATGTCATAAACATGACTATTTAGAAGGCAGATTAATTATGCTTCCATTTGGCAAAACATCAGTCGTAGATTCCCCCATTGGGCCTGTGACAGCCCTGGCCATAAGCTCTTGACCAGTTAGTTCTACAGTGTTAGGCATGCATCCCCTGCCATGAAGCAGACTTCAGATTCAATCAGGATGCAGCTGGTTTCCTCTCAAACATGCCCACTGCTGCACCACAGGCATCTCTGACAAGGCGGGTCGGCATTGCAGCCCACAGGGTCTGTGGTCCAGTGTGACAGATGTCCACTTTTCTCCTCCACCAGTCACCCTGCCTCACATTCTGACACTAAGCCTGCTAGGCGACAGGGAGGCAATGGCTCTCATCAGCTTCCATCTAGTCCCTGCCTGCCCAAACAGTGACAACCCCAGGGGACAGGTATGTTAAGCATTTGCCCAACCAGTAGCCCACTTGCCATCCTCAGCAAACATCTGGGGCTTCTACCCTACGGGCCTGACACTATAACACGTATAAAAGACACCGTCCCTGGTGCAGGCTTGTGGGAAAGGATGAATACAGCTGTAACCAAAATATAAACCAGTGATAGCACAATCCTGTAATCTCAACACACGGGGGTTCCAGGAGGAGCATCAGGTTTTCATGTAGCCAGCCTGTGCTACATGTGATCCTGCCTCAGAAAACAAATTCAAACAAAAAACAGAGAGGTAGAGGTCCCAAAAAGACCTGCCATTTTAAAACCACGATGGTGTAACTCTCATTCTTCCCCTTGCCTGTCACCCTCACATTAAACTTGAAATTTTAACTTTTGTTGTACCTAGCAAAAAAGGAAGCATTTTAAGGGTGTTTTTGCACAATTTCTATTATGTCTCCTATCCCAGCACCTCACAAGAACCCTGTGGGTAGGAAGCCTTTCACAGGGGGACCAAGAAATAGGTCCCAGTGTCACAAAGCCAATGGCCATGGCCACAAGCTTGGCATCAAGGCCAGAAGCAGGTTCACTGGATGCTGAATCAACTCTATTCTGGTTCAGTGAAAGCCCCTGTGATGTTCATGGTGGCCTCTCCTAATTCCTCCCTGCTCCTACAGGGTCTGAGCTTATGGCTGAGCAACAGACCAAGCAAGCTCTCTGGCTGGGAAGTCCCAGCCCATGCCAGCTAAGACCCACTTTGAGTCTTTCCTTGCTATGAAGCAAACACAGCTCTCACTTCAAATGGAGTAAGAAGTGGTTTATTCTAAAGCAAATACAGGTGAGCACTGCCCAAAAACACAGATTCCGAATGCCCTAAATCATGGGTGCCACCATTAGAACATGCCACCATTAGTTGCATGGGATTGTATCAGTCACAGGACAAAGAAAATCATACATCAAGCTATTTACCTAATAATTGGCAGGGACCACATAAGCAGGGTATACAATAGAGAAAACTCTGCTACAGGTTTCCAGTGTATTCTAATGACATCCTTAACTTCTGAACTGGTGGAAGCCAGCAGAAGACCTTTGCAAGATACTGATAGTCCAAAGGAAGTTAGATCAGTGTGGCATGTTGCATGAGAAATCTCCCCCACGGTCTGAGCATCTGGACACTTGGTCCCCAGTTGGTGGCCCTGTTTTGGAGAGCCATAAGTGATGGAGCCATGCCAGAAGTATGTTGCTGGGGTGGGCTTAAAAGCCTCTGTCACTTCCAGTTCACTCTGCTTCCCGCTTGCATTTGACAGTGTGAACCCTCAGCTTCCTGCCCCTGTTTGCTGCCATACTCCATACAGTGAGGACTCTGTTCCCCCTGGGTCCATAGACCAAAGTAAAGCCTTCCTTCTATAATCATCTTGGTCATGGTGTTTTATCACAGCAGCGGTAAGGTGAGGAACACAGTCAGACAAAGGTGTGGACAGTGAATGGCTATTTAGAAAACAAAGTATAAAAGCAGCTCAAGCTAATTCAGCTCTGGATCTGCAAGATTCTAACTCTCCACAATTGGTTAACAGTTTGGCCTTCTAGAATCTTTAATACTGGGTGTGTATCTTTGGGGTGGGGGCTTCAGTTTACATTGCACAGGAAAGAAAAAGGTTTGAGAGTTGGGGGCAGTTAGCAGATCTCAGCATCCCAGCTTCCCAGCTTCCCAGGTTCAAATGAGTGTGCTCGGAGTCCCAAATGCCTGGAGGCCCAATTCCAATTCTAACAGGCCAGAAATAAGGGACACTCTCCCTCTCCGTTTAGCACCCCAAGAGGCACCCCTCATCACCAATGCTCACGGCTGCTCTGCCCTGTGACCTCAAGAAAGCAACCCTCCCAGGCACAGGAATGTAGAGCAGAAGAGTCCAAGCTGGAAGGAGCCTGATCACTTCAGTGCTCCAACAGGTTCTTTCTAATGGGAAAAACCTAGAATAGGCAGAGTTCCCCTGTGAACAACCCCGAGAACTCACCCCCTGGGTAACCATGCACTGTCTGAGCAAAGAGCAAGGCTAGTGTATTTTCTTACTGCAAATAGCCAGAAGCAGCTGTCTGTTGGAAGCCTCTGCAGATGTTAAAAGGTTCTCTGTGTGGGCACCAGGACACTGTTCCTAAGCCCCACTGGACAACAGTCTTCTTGGAATTAATTATCCATAATATCTAGACCCAGGGGCTGCCTAGACAACCCCATACTAAGCTAATAATCATCATCATCATCACTGCCTCCACAACCTCATGAAGTTGACTGCCATTAACCAGAATACAGGCAATATTGTCAGGTAGGTTGGGGGAACTGGGGGCCTTGTGTGCTGTTGGGGGGAAGGGGAAAATGGTGCAGCTACCTGAAAACCAGGGCGGCAATTCCCTGAAAATGAAAAACCCTACAATCCAGCAATTCAATGTCAAGGTGTATTATCTAAAGAACTGGAATCAGGGTCTTGAGAAGGTATGTGTACATTCATGTTCACCACATCCAAAAGGAAGAATTGACCCCGACATCCATCGGCAGAGCGACAGCATGTGGAATGATGGGAAAATGATGGAGGCTGAGGAGGTGGGGTGAAGGATAAAGCACTTGCTATGCAGGAGTGAGGGGTAGAATTCAGATCCACAATGCCCACATGAAGTCAGTTAGGCAGGGTGGTACACCTGTAACCAGAGCTTAGGAGGCAGGGAAAGGGGTCCCCAAGGCAAGCTGGCTCGAACCCAGGACTTTGTGCTTTCCAGACAAACACTGCATCTCCAACCCTTAAGTCATTTAAAGTGTGCCACCCAGTATAGCAATCACCACACTGCCGCAGCACTGCATAAAGCCAGGTACAATGGTGCAGTCTGCAATCCCAGTACTGGGGAGGTAAAGGCAGGAAAATCAGAAGTTTAGGGTCATCCTCTGCTACAATCCAAGTTCAAGGCCAGCCTGGACTACCTGAGATCTCTGCCTCAAAAACGTAAGTAAAAGACCTGCGGTGCAAGGCATAGTTCCACCTCAGGTGGCATGTGACCAACAGTGGCCTTTAATAAGGCAATCTAAGGCAGGTCCTCTCAGGCACCCACTGGGCTGAAATCAGGTAAGGTGGTAGAAATGGCTGTTTCTCTGCCCCCATACCAGGGTCTCTTCTCAATAAACACTGCGCAATTTTTCTTTAAAAGTTCTACAGCTCAAACCATGAGACGCAAAGTCCCAGGTTTCACTTCCTTCAGCTGCCCTGGCATTGAAAACCTCAAGGAAGAAGCTAATTCGATTAGCTTGAAGATAAGCAGCCAGAGCAACCCTGCCAGGGCAGAGGTGCCTCCCAGGGCCATAATCTCATTACCGCCATGGTGCCATAGCTTCCTTTGAAAGGAGGCAGAAAGGGAGAGGTTTGGTCTGAAGAAAGCCTCTGGAAAACTCCTGGGTGAGAAAGATCAAACCAACCAGAGAGAACAAAGCAGACACTCACATCTCAGGTGGACCAGCTGGAAGACGCTGGCCACCGAAGTCTTTCCAGGCTACTGGCTTTTATCTTGAAATGTGGCAAGATACTGCACCTGGCAGGACTGAACAAGCTGAGGACAGGATTTTTTTTTTTTTTTTTAACGAACACCACCTGTCTCTTGTACGCCAGCCTAGGCATTAGTTGTCCGTTTCTCCATTTCCTGCCTCCACACTGGGTTCTCTTCTGTAGGCTAAATGACTTTGACCACTGTGCTTAGAGATGACTTCTGGTCCCTTTTGCCACTGGGCGACACTCTTCCAAACAAGTGAGCCAGCCTCCTTGGGGCTGCAGTGTTTCTGGCTCAAACGTATTTTGAAGAACT